CACCTGGTATGACCAAGTGTTCGAATCTTACACAGCGGTGTCCCAATGGGGAGGAAGAGAGGCTCAGCCCGTTGACTGATCCCAGAAGTTAGAATGGTACACGACAATGGTATCTTCCCTAACATCCAGCTCTTAAAACACTATTTTATAGTGTTTTACTTTGCAGGTGGAGCTTGAGTGACTCTAGTCATACATACCTTTATCAGGATTGGTGCGGAATTCTCTCGCTTTGCATTTAAAGGTCCAGACTAGGAAAAATTCAGCATGCACGCTCATTGAGGAGTGGTCGCACCTTGGGAGGTGGGTAGCTTTGAGAGGGGTGTGCGTTTTAGTAATATAATGATATTATAATAAGCAAAGTTCACTCCAAGTACAGCACTTCATCAAAGTTGACAAGTCACTGACCCAGGGCATCGCACGTGCAGCTTATTAGTGTACACACTGTGTACCCTTAAATTCCCCTGTTCACAGAGCATGGCCGCGATGTCTCCACTCCGCTCCACCCTCCATGCAATCTCTCCCAGAGTCAGCACACCAAGTACCCCTGATGTTGCCAACATCTAGGGTTGTCTAGAGAATCTCCATGGTACAGACCCGTTGTACAAGTGCTACGTTCCACCCTGTTTCAATGCTGTTCTTAGAGTAAATTTCCAAAGTGCCCCTCAGCGATTACTCCACAGCACATCAGTGGGGTTGGCACCCCACTTCGATTTAAAGTGTTATGGGGCTGCTGCCCTCCAGCCTCCTCCGGACCATCTCCATGAGGGAGTCAGAGTAGGTGCGGAGCAGTGCCAGGGTCTCAGGGTCCGGTGGTGGCGGTGCTGGGGTGGCAGTGGCGGCATCGGTGGTGTAGGTCACGGCACGGGAGTGCAGCTCTGCTTTCATCCAGCCGAAAAGGCCGGCCAGTGCGGTCCTCGCCTGGAGGAGATCCTCCTCAGTGGCACAGAGGGTCACCTGCGGAGAGGGGTCCCTTCATCACCCTAAAACTCCCCTAGCACCTCGGCTCTGAAATGAGCTGTGAACGGGGGTTTTTTCTGGGGTCCGAACCCACAGACATGACCAAAATACATCAGCAGTTGGCCCTCCGAGGAGGGAGAAGGGAACGACCCCCTGAAATGCTGTGAATTGGGGGGGTCCCCCCACCTTGGGAAGCACTGACCTGGTCATAGAGCCCCAGCATCTCCTGCAGGCTGGTCCGCAGCAGCTGCAGGGCCGTAGCAAAGGTCTCGACCCGGAGGTGGGATCCTGCGGGCACTGCAGCTGCTGTGAGCCATGTGCACCCATCCGAGAGGGGACAAAAAAACACCTCATCCCCACCCAGGAGGGTGTTTTGGGGCGAAGAAAGCCCCTCTTGTCCTCAGACACACACCTGTGGGTTTGCTGGCCTTGGAGCCTGTTTCCTCTCCCATTTGCCAAGGTTTTTCATCCAGCAGTTTCTAAAAAGTTGACAGAAGCACCGCTGAGCCCAGCCCATGGAATGAAAATTAATTTTTTGGGGTATTTCTCCCAAAGATTTCCCCCTCCTTTAGGCAGAAAACCAACTCGCCTCTGATTGCTGGAGCTCCTGGGATGTTTTTGGCTGGTCCCTGAGGCGCTCCCCGGGGCCTGGAGCTCCTGGGATGTTTTTGGCTGGTCCCTGAGCGGCTCCTGGGCACGGACGGAGCTCTGCAGCTGGGGCCGTGCCCACAGGGGGAAGGTGGACACCAGCCTGCGGGACAAGAGAATGGGTCAGGAGCGGGAAAGCCCTTCCCTGCTGGACAGATGGATGGACAGACACAGCACCTGACGCCCACCTGCTGTTCTGGCAGCGCAAGAGGAACCGGGCTGAAATGCTCAAGCGCGGGTTCAGGAACAAGTTTTTTTCCTCGTCCCCAAGTTCAGGTGATTTCAAGTCCTTTAAGGAGCCGTCAATGGGCAGGAAGCTTTAGCTCGGCCATCACTGGCATCCACCTGGGTTGGCCATGCCAAGCCAAACATGCCGGCACCATCCGGTGGTTTCCACCACCTGTGGTTTCTCCCATTACCATCAGCATCCGCCAGCGTCTCGAAGTGCTGCTTGAGGTACTTCTCCTGCTCAGGGGTCTGGGGCAGGGAGCTGCTCTGCGGTGGGTTCTCTTCTGGCTCCTCTGCCTCCCCGGCAGAGCCCACCGAGTCCTCATCTGCCAGGACGGAGCCAGAAAGGAAGGCCCCCCATGACAGACGTTAGCACCAGGCGTTTTTTATTCTGATGCGCTTCCCCCCACCCCGCCCAAGAGCTAAAGCCGCCACCAAGCTTCCCGCTCAGTCACGAGGGTTCAGCGCTGGCAAAGCCGGTGCTCATGGCACCTTCCTGGAGCCCTGTCTGCGCTCCTGGCATTACCTTCCGAGCGGTAGCAGGGCACCAGTGATCCCAGGCAGAGCGGAACACAGGCTGAGGCATCTTCCCGGCCAATCCCAAGCTCCTCCGGGTATGCGGGGCAGAGTGGCAGCTCCATCACATGTTGCCTTGAGGAAAGGCAAACAGGTTGTTGATGCCGGTGGTGCCGCGCACCGGATGCCGCCACCGGGTCTGTGCTTGCCATTGCTCTGAGCTGGGACACGCACGTCTGCGTGCTGGTGCTTGGCTGGGACAAGCCACAGTTTCCCTCCTCCAACCCTGACCGGGCTTTAGGGGCCAGGTGGGAGGTTTGGTGTGAGGAAGGGAGCCCCGACCTGCCCCGCACTGCTGGGCTGGCACCTTCCGGCATTGCCAAAATGCTTTCAAATTTGGCTTGAAGGGAAAAGCCATGGCGGGGACGAGGGCCTGATGGAGCTCGTCATGAGCCAGAACGTTAAGCAAAGCACAAACTAGCAGAGCGAGGTTGGCTTAAGACCGATAGTGAAACGTGGTGCCCACTTCCCTGCTTGGCTGTTGGCTTCAGCCAGCACTGACCTGCTCGCCTCCAGCACGTCCAGCTCCTCCAGGCTGGTCCTGGTTGTATCTGGCGATTCCGGTCCCCCATTGGTTTTCTCGTCCAGAAAGAGCTCGGAGAGCTGGAAGTCCTCAGTGAGGTCGCTGGGAGAGCTCTCTGCCTGCTGGAGGTGGGGAGCTGATGTCCATAACCGGATTTTTCCCAGAAAGATCAGCGCTGGTGGGCAGGGGTCTCCAGGGATGGTTAAAACCAGAGTCTGGTGAGGGCTGATGGAGGGCGCTGGGGCCGGCCCCTCACAGCTTCACGTAGGGGCAACTGACCTCTGAAAGCAAGTGCTCCAGGCTGCTGGGCTCAAGCTCCATGTTGCCCTCAAGGTGGGGTTTCAGGGGGGTGAAGTAGGGGGGATCCGCCTCCGGCAAGGTCTTGATGGGGCCCCTCTGGGCGCGCTCTGCCCATCGCCCCCGCGGCCGGTAGCTCCCCGGGGGGCTGGCAACCGCCCCTTCTTCCACTTCTCCCAGCTGGGAAGGGGGGAAAGAAGAGAGGGAATCCAGTGGAGATGGAGCAAAAGGATCTTCATCTGGACCTGTTAAATTGCATCTCCAGGTGCAGCGAGGCGACTTACCAGCCTCTTTGCCCACAAGGGCAGCCTGCCGTTGGTTAGGATGCACGCTGGAGCTGGAGGGGGAGAGCAGGGTTAGGAGCGTTTCTGTGTGCCGCAGCACTTGGAGGAAAGATGGTCAGAAAACGGGGTGCAGCCGCAGAGGGACCCCGGCCCACAACGCACGTGGCTCCAAGTCCTCTTTGGAGGGGGTCTGTGGGGATGAGGCCTCATCTCCCTCCTCGGCAGAAGCTCTGCCAGCACCGGGGGTTGCTGTCCCACCGGGGACCGTGATGTAGGTCTCCTGCCTGCAGGAGGGGAGAACGGTGGGGTGGCCAAGGCAAAAACAGGGTGGCATGTGGGGGCTGAGCAGCTTTTCCCCACTACCTGAGCAGTGCTGGGGGACTGGGTTCCACCTGCTTTGGCTGCAGCAGATTGAGCTCCAGCAAGTGCTGCTTCATGCTGCTGGTGATTTCGGGGCCCAGGTGCCAAATAAAGATGCAACTGAGGGTAGAAAGGTGGGGGGGGTGTCAGGTCTCCCGGAGATTTTGGATGGGGGGGCTTTATGTTAAGTCCCTCAATCAATTTAATCCACCCCAGCCTCCAGCACTGCCTCCACCTGTGTGTACATCCTGCCCAGTGCTCTCTAAAGCCAATTCTCCTATAGTGTCTGGCGAGATGTAAATCAGGTGATTTTTTAGGTCCGCCAGCCCCTACCTGTCTCCTGAGACAGTGATGAGGTGTTTGCAGTCGTAGGTGAACCGCATCCCCGTGACTATTTCTGTGCCGAAGGGAAGGAAACACAGCAAGGTTGCTCATCAGGACCACAACCTCTGCGCTTGTTTAGATTTAAGTGACATAGAAGGTGTATGGGCATTCACGGCCGAACAGGGGAGAGGCAGGGGCAGGCAGAGTGCTGGGGGCTTCCTGGCAGCTCTCCCCTGCACCTCCCCTCCCCGAGAGGAACCGAACCTGAATGGCCGAACATTTTTGCCACGTGCTCCCCAGAGTGGAAGTTGATGAGGGCGATGCTCTTGTCGGAGCAGCTTGTTGCCAGGAAGGTGCCCGAGGGATCCAGCTGCACCTGGGGGAGAGGAACGGTGGGTCGGGTTCGCCCACAGTTTGGGAGGCAAGCAGAGCCAGGCAGCTTCGTAGGAGCTGGTAAAACTCCCTCTCCATCTTTCCTACAAGCCCTTTTAAGTACTGAAAGGCTGCAGTAAGGGCTCCTCTTCCTCAGGCTGGACAAGCCCAACTCCCTCAGCCTCTTGCCACAGCAGAGCTGCTCCAGCCCTGGACCGTCTCCATGGCCTCCTGTGGACCCACTCAAGCAGGTCCATGCCCATCTTGTGCTGGGGACCCCAGAGCTGGATGCCAGGGGGGCTCAGCAGAGCAGAGCGGGAGAATCCCCTCCTTCAACCTGCAGCCCACCAGATGCTTGGCTTTCTGGGCTGCAAACACACATTGCCGGCTCACGCCCCATTTGTCACACACCAGTGTCCCCAGGTCCTTCTCCGCAGGGCTGCTCTCTGTCCCCCAGTCTGTGCCAGGATGGGGCACTGCCCTCACCCGCTGCAGGACCTTGTGCTTGGCCTTGTTGAACCTCAGGAGGTTGACATTGGCCAACGTCTCCAGCTCCTTCTGGTTGGCAGATCTTCCCTTGAGGGTACCAACGGCTCAGTCCCAAGCCCTTCAGCACTGCTGACAATCCAGCCCCACCGCTGTGTCAAAGGAGCTGCTGTGGATGCCCTCACGGCCAACATGTGATGGAAATTGCCCTCTTACCTTCAGCAAGGAGCCGTCGTCGCCTTGCGAGCCCTTGTAGCAGCACTTCAGCTTCCCACTGGCTGTGCTGTAAACCCTGTGAGAGGAGCAGGAGGTAGTCAAGCTGGTGACAAGCCCGGCAGGGACACTGGAGCCGGGAGGAGAAAGATGACCCCCAGGTGGGTTTTTGTGCCTGGGCACAAAAAAGTGCCTTCACCTGACGTTCCTGTCCTGGCAGGCGACAGCGGCATGTTTCTGCATGATGTCAATGTCCATGTCATACAGGGTGGTTTTCTCAGCGACGTGATGCATCCTAACAAAATTGAAGCCATCTGGGAGCTGTTGGATGACAGGGAGAGCCATGTTGCCTTCTCGCCCATCCAAATTTGGGGGAGAAGCAGCAGATCCCTGTGGAGATGCTGCTAACACACCTTTTGAGCATTGCGGAAATAAATACTTTTATCAGCGCCGCAGCTTATCAGCTGAATGTCTCCGTTGCCTGGGCAAAGAGAGCACAGGGAAAGGGGAGTGGAGATCGCGTCCATTCCAAATTCACCACTGAGTGAATCCGAAAAATTACTCTTTATGAATTAATCCATTAAAAAATCGTTCTTTTAAAACCCAGATGCAATCCAAGGGTGGGATCCCCTTCAACGAATGGCTCAGTGCTGTTCATCTGGGGACAACTGTTTTCTACTGAGGAGCCCACTCTAACACAGACGTTGAAGTTTAGGTACATAAATCCGGAGAGAAAAACCTCATCTTCAAGGCAGAACAAGGCGAAGGGCAGCCCGACGGGGGGAATTCAGATGCAATTCAGCCACCTACCAGCAAATTTGACAGATGTAATCGCAGAGGAGTGATCGTCCAGGGTTTGCTCCAGCTTGTAGTTCTTGTCTATGTTCAAGATGTGGATCAGCCTGTCTCTGCTCGCCGAAGCCAGCAGCGCTGCTCCTGGAGCCGGCAGAAAAGGGGGTGTTAAAATAACGCTGCACTAAAGGTTTTTGTTCAAATAAATAGTATATTTACTGTCATCCCCTGCAAAGATTTTGATGTAAACCAGTTCTAGGTGGGGTATTAAAGGGAGAGCAAACCGTGATTGCACAGGTCCTTCCCGCAGCCCCCAGCGCAGCCTGAGCCGTGTTTTAATTTGCACAGCCCTGGGGTTTCTCAGAGGAGAGACCCTTCCCTGCAGAGCTTGTTTTTCAGGATGCCTCAGCTCCTTTGGTGAAGGAGAAGCTGAGCCTGAAGGCTCACTGGCAATGCCTGAGGACTCACCTGGTGACACAGCTTTTGGGCATCGCTGCCGAGTCGAAGGCTTACCAGTCTCCAGCTTTGAATACTCCAGGCAAAGGACTTCTGAATCGTGAGCCTCAACTTTAGCCACCTCCTGCATGAACTGCAGCTCGTGTATCCTGCAAGGGAAGCGCACTGTTGGCTCGGCCCCCAAAAAACAGGGCAGGAACACCGTTGGCACACAGTGAGGGGTGTGAGCATCAGAGATGCTCACAGAAAGAGGGGAACGGCTGAAAGGAGTGGTGGGGAGCCCACGCCGGCACCCAACCACCACCGTCCTTCAGTTTTCGGCCGAGCGCGGCGCCACTTGCCTGAGGGTTCCTCCTCTGTCCCCCGATGCCAAATGCTCCCCGTTGGGGCTGACCTGCATCACCCGCACCCCGGATTTGACATCGAGGTGACCCATATTCTCGCTTCGGTCAGGCACGGTGGAGGAGTCCTGGAGGTGCTGCGTGTTGTTGTCCACGTAGATGACATTCAGCAGGGTCTTGGCGCGGGAGAAGAGGCGACAGTCAGGCCCCTGGCAGAGCACAGGCAGCTCTTTGGGGAGGAGAGGAGCCCACCCATCTCACGCAGCTGCTTCCAACATCCCCACTTTATTTTGCCATGCTTCCCGCTCAGGAAATGCCAGGATTTGAAAAGCACAGCTCTGCACTTTGGTTGTTCGGACAGAAAGAGCAGGTGCAGGAGAACGGAAAGCAGTTTCCAGGCTCACTACCATCACCAAAACCCGCTCAAAATCACCACTCGTCTTCCACTCAGGTGGCGGCTCTGTACCCAGAGCAGCAAGAAGCAGACAGGAACCATCCCGAAACCTCCAGCAACCTCATTTTCTAGAGGCGAGTCCCACAAGCCAAGAGCTCAGGGAGCCGGTTGAGCTCCCCCAGCTGCTGGCGTGGTTTTGGGGGGCTGCTTTGAGCAGGGACGGGGGATGCAGCCCCCCCATTGTACCGTGCTGTAGGCGCTGCCCTGGATGCAGCACGTGGAGCCATTTTCCAGGGTCCAGGCGCGGATGGTGTTGTCTGAGGAGCATGTCAGGAAGGAGCCAGGAGGCAGAGAGGATCTCCGCTCCTCGAATTCAGGGTACACCTGCACCCAGGGGGTTACACATTGAGGGGGAAAAAAGCTGCAGGTGCCCCAAATCACCTCTGTGGGACCCACTTGCCCTCACCTCGACGCTCCAGATGAAGGAGCTGTGGAAAAGGTCTGACCACACCTTCCTGACGTTCTGCAGGTCCCTGACATCCCAGACGTAGATGCTGTGGTCCCTGTAGACGCAGGACAGCCAGCGGTTGCAGGCATCGTAGGCCAAGGCGATGGTGTCAGGGTAGACCAGGTCCGGCTGCCTTCAGTGAGAGGGAGACGGAGTTGAGTCACATCCCAAGAACGCAGTATTTTGGGGGGCTGACCCCTCCAGAGCCCACTGAGTGTTCTGCCAAAGTCAGATGTGATTTGCGAATGAAATTGCGTTCATAACCCAACCCACAGCCCTGAAACGAAGGCGGAAAACAAAACTGTGTGGCCCCCCCCATATGCCTGACCACTCTCCCATCCTCGCCATATCCCTTCACTGCGCATAAAATCAGGCGCCGATTCACACCTATCTCAGCTCAGACCTCCATCAAGACAAGGTCGCAGGCCAAGCAATGAGAGCTGTGGTGTCCAAAACCCCACAGTTCAGCGGCAGAAGCTGCGCCGGACAGTTCAGAGAGGGGACAGGGGGATCCCTGTCATCCTCTTGGCCATGCGGTACCTCCGTGGGGGGCTCTGGGTGACATCCACGCCCAGGGGGTGAGGTTTAGGGAGGTCGCTTAGGTAGCACATGTCACAAGCCTGGAAAATCCTCACGGTGCCGTTGGCGCAGCCACAAAATATCAGCTCCTCACTGAGGCAGAGGCAGGTTGCCAGCGGCACCTGTGGTCGGAGCAGGTGAGGTCCCTGCTGGTGGGCTTCACCCTGGGGGTCCGGGGAATCCGCCCCCCCACCCCACCTTCAGAAGGATCCATTTCTCCAGCATCCGCTTCTTGTTGAACTTGCAGAGCAGCCCCGAGGAGGAGACGCAGAAGGTGCTGCCCAACATCTGCCCTCGGCCGCAGGCCACGCCACAGAAGATGTCGTCAAGAAGCTCTCCCAGCAGCCCCGAGCGTCCCACCAGTGGCACTGTCTCATTGATCTGGAAAGCAGGGTAGCGCTGCCAACCCGACGTTAACGAGTGTTAACGAAGGAAACGTCTCCCAGCCCTCTGGAGTACACCTGGTACTGGACATCAGCAGCATCCCCATGTCCACGCGTGCTCCCCAGCAGAGCTGCTGTGCACCCATGGCCGTTTGCTGGCCAGAATATCCCCAGCTCCAGGCTGAGCTGAAGCACCCGCAGCTTCGACGTCCGGTGCCGGGCAGACAGAGAAAAGCAACATTCAAGTATGCCGCAGCATGAATTTTGGGGCAAAAACCTGGCATTTCTTTGGTTCTTTCTACAGACACTGCCCTCTCCCACGTCTCATTGGCTTCGGTGACAAGGATTTAAGCAGCATCCAGCCCCAGTTCAGCTTCATCAGCTGCCCACGCCCCATGAGATTGCATTGGCAAAGGGCACCCCGTCACCTTCAGCTCCCTTGATGAGTCCAGGAACCAGAACTTGACGTGGCGGTGCCCCGCGGTGACGAAGTAGTGGTCCTCGGAGAAAGACACGGCTGTCACTTTGCAGGACACTTTGTTTGACGCGACCAGGGAATCCTTCTGTTCAGAAAGAAGGACGCGGTTGGGTCGTGCACAGTAAGCATTACCCCCCAAAAGTCCAGAGCCGCGAGCGACTGTGGAAAAAGATGGAAAAGGGCTGTTTTCCGCCAAATTAGGGAATTTCAAGCTGCTTTAAGCCAGCTTGGTTTGGCCAGAGCTCACCTTCCAGTCCCAAACATTGACCACCCTGTCGTGCGGGTACCCCACCGACACCAGGTACTTGGCACTGGGGGAGAAGGCGACGCAAGCCACGCCGTGCTTGTGACCACGCAACTCTGAGACCTGTGTCCGTTCCTCCACGTCCCACACGCGGACGGCTGGTCGGTGTCCGTTCTGTGCAGGGAAGACAGCGGTGTGGCAGCAGCTTTCCCCTTCTCACCAGCCTCCCACAGCCACCCAGTGCATCCTCTGACCCTAAGGGTGTTCCCACCCTCCCAGCGCAATCCCAAATGGGGTTGAAAACCCCAAAATGCAGGGGAGGAATAATCCTGGCTACTTCATCCTGCCAGGACAGCCAAAACTGGGGTGTAGGTGACTACAAATAAGTGGCACCCACCTCTCCGGTGACGATGAGCTTCCCATCCGGTGAGAAGGCCAACGCACTCAGGGTTTTCCTAGAAAATATTGTTCTTTAACAACTGAGCTACTCCAGAGAGAAAACTGAGGTTTTATTGGGAGGAGAAGGAAAGAAAAATACTGGAAGCAGCACTTCTGAAACCCAATGTATGCCTCAGCCTGTGTTTGGGGGGTACCTAGCAGTGTTCAGGGATACCTGGAGCAGTTTGGGGGGTACCTGGAGCTACTGGGGTGTACCTGGAGGTGTTCAGGATATGTGTCTGCGTGTTCTCCCGGGGGTTCAGGATGACAATGACACACCTGGACAGGAAGGGGGTAGGTTTTTCCCAGGCTGGGATTTCAGGGGGCGTGGAGGGGTCCTGGG